GGAATTTGAGGTTTCTGTGAACTGTGACGCTACAGCACTCTAGCCTGAGTGACAGGGAGACTATGTCAAAAAGCCTTGTTCTGTCAAAATATTTTATGAGCTACATTTGGTGAATTTTAAGTATTTGGATTTAAATCTCTATTAATGTAGATAATACATTATTTCTCTGTGCTTGGTTAGGAGTCTGATATTTCTGTGGAGTTTCAGTTTTCATGTAGTTTGGCTGCTCATCTGAGAGGAGAGTGCTGCTATCACTTCCATTCTAGGAGTGAGAGTCACCCAGAGTGAAGAGGGCTGAGTGTCTTAATCCAAGTCATAGCTGACTCTTGAACAGCACAAGGGTTAGGGGCTCTGACTTTTAGCACAGCCGGAAGTCCGCGTATAACCTTTGATTCCCCAAAACAAGCCTTACCAATAACAAAGAGAAGAAGGGCGGGCGGGATGGCTTGCACCTGTCCTACCAGCACTCTTCGAGGTAGGCAGAGGCAGGAGGATCCCTTGAGCCCAGGAGTTCCAGGCTACAGTGAGCTGTGAGGACACCACTGCACTCCAGCCTGGGCAGCAGAGCAAGGCCCTGGTTAATGAATTGGAAGTGGATTGACCTTCAGGTCTCAGCCTGCAGCGGCTTCACACTGAGCAGACTGAGGAGTCCCAAATTGCCTGTGTTGTTCAAGGGTCAGCTGTACTCACATCTACCTCTTTTCTTAAATCTTTTTCCTGAGTTTTGAGAATTACCTGTATCCTTATAACCCTCGTTTTCTTGGTCAGCCCTTGTCAGATATTACTGTGTGGGACAGGGTGTTATTAAGTGCAGGTTTGGTCCAGAAGGTATGTGTGCTCCGGGGGCTGCCTGCTGACACAGAGCCTCCAGCAAGAAGCACAGCTGGGCAGCAGAGGTCAGCAGGTGTCCAGCAGCCTTTCCCTTTTGTGAGCCCATTTCCTGCTGCCAGCGGCTGTGGAGAGGCATAGGCAGGGCTGCCCTGTGGGCTGAGTGCAGCCTGATACAAGGCTGCCAGGTGGTTGGCAAGGCCCCTGAGTTCTGCGCCTCTTGTCAGGGAGTGGTTGGTGTTTTCTCCAGAGGACTCTGCACGCTGGGCTCCTGCTGCCCCACAGCATGTGAGCTGGAGCAGCGGCCGTCCTGTCTGGGGATGTGGGAGCTGCCTCTCCTAGACTTGGACCTGGTCACCGTGCTGTCTGCATGTTTCCAGCCCCAGCCTGCAGACTCCCTCCTCCTGTGCTGTGTCAGTGTTCAGCCTTGGGCCTGGCTCAGTCCCAGAGTTCTAGGGCAGCTTTTATTTTGGTGTTGACTGGTGTTGGTTAATGAGTTTAAAGTAAACTTTTAATCACCTAAAAGTAAGGGGATGTAGGGATGTCCTCAGTGTCTTACCAGGAACAGCCAAGCACCTTCCATTGAGGAGACTGCAAGCTGGCCGTAAAATTCAACAGGTACCTGTCATATTGTGGTCAGCTATGGAGCACAGTGATCAGGAAGCCCCAGAAGCCAGGCTGAGGCAGCCTTGGAACTTTCTAGAAGAGGGGACCCCCAGCCACAAAGACTGCCCTGATTTAGCAGCTCTATTGGGCAGCTATAGCCTCTTCCCAGGCTTAGCAGCAAATATGTGGCACGAGGAGTGGAGGGGGCGGCACAGCAGCCCTTTACCCTCTTAAAGCATCACGGGAAGAGCCCAAGCCCCAAGGCTGACTTTGGAGTATGGACCAGCCCCCAGGGTTTCCCTGGGAGGTGAGGGTGGTTGGTTGTCTAACCTTATCGCTCCCTTTGGTGGTCTGGCCACTTCATGACAGAGGGAAGAGCTGACCAGCCCTATGCCAGGTTGCCAGGGGGAGCAAACACAGATGGTGACCAGAGGGTCCTGGGGGACCTAGGCAGCTTCTGGGAGGGCTGAGGTGAGCAGGTTGGTGGAGGGGAGCATAGCATCCAAGGCCCCTGGCAGAAGGGGGAATGGGCAGAAGACAGGACGCCCAGCTCACTTCCACACTCAGCCACACCTCTCCAGCAGGTCCAAGTTCCATCACCTGGATGTGGAGAGCACTTGGAACCTCCCATCTCTGCATAGCAAGGGTCCTGGTGTGCTGGGAAGCTGTGGCTTCAGTGCTGGGCTATTTGTGCCCACATGCCGAGCTCAGACACAAGGGTCCTGGGAGGGAAGTGGTTTGGAGGTCTCTGCCTTCATTATCTGAAGGTCTGTTAAGTGTCTCTGGGCACCATAGTCACGTCTGAGACTCAAGGAAGTGCCACGTGGCAGAGGCTGCCTAAAGCACCTGCTGGCATGTGCACCCCTTTCACACTAGGGTAGGAGAGGGGGAGCACCTTATTTGGGAGTGGTCCCATGTAATTTGCTGGTTGATGTTTCACAAAACTGGGCATCTTGGCGAGTGTCTTCTGATGAACAGGGCCAGCTGCCCAAGGTTCTGGAGAAGGGGGCCCAAGGGAAGCACGTTCTGAAGACCTGTGGTCTCCATCCTGATGGCATTGCCAGCTTTGTGATTTGCCATCAAGAGCCACCCAGGAGGCCTTCAGGTGACACCCTCTGCAATCCACGTACACTTGGAAAAGTTATCTCTGCCAATGGTCATGGGCCATGGGGCAGCTTTCCCAGCTTGTATGGGGAGGCACACCTCAGAACTTGCCCCTGGGCTGAAAGCTCCAGTGGGGAGTAGCCTCCTGACTCTCCAGGGCGCTATGACAGAACTGACATCACTGCTTCCACTTGTCCCCAGGGCTTTTTTCTTTCTTTAAAGGCAGAGTCCCACTCCATCACCCTAGGTTAAGTGCGGTGGCATTATCACAGCTCACAGCAACCTCAAACTCCTGGACTCAAGTGATTTCTTGCCTCAGCCTCCCAAGTAGCTGGGACCACAAGTGCCACCACAACACCTGCCTAGTTTTTCTATTTTTAGTAGAGACAAGGGCTCACTCTTGCTCATGTTGGTCTCAAACTCTTGAGCTTGGGCAGTCCACCTGCCTTGGCCTCCCAGAGTGCTGACGTGAGTCACTGCACCTGGCCAGCTTCTGTTGTTTTTAGGGATAATTGGGTTTTGGAAGTTAGGGTGCAGCAGTTTTGGAAATAAACCATACTCTTTACACTGTTCTGTTTCAGAACAGCCACCTTTCCAGGGAAGGAGAGGCTGGGGACAGGGAGAACGTGTCAGCCTTAGAGTGAGAGGGACTTAGGACTCTGTTCTACTAGAGAGCAGTGGCAGCCAGCTCAGGGACACTGACATGGCCACAGGAGCTGTGGTGGTGCCTATGTGCTCTGCACTCTGACCATGCTGGGCTGCTCGCCTGTGTCCAGCTTGGTGGTTCATAGATCCTTGTCCAGAAATAGGGTGATTGACTCTCCTGTGACCACTCCTCGATTTTTCCATCCTGAGAGCAGGCAGCCAGAATTTTAAAAGATTTCACTCCAAATAATCCTTAAATTTGTGCACAAGCTTTGGTCCTGAGTTCCCAGACCGCTGTGAGCTTCCTCAGGGTTCCCTGAGCCACCTGCCGCAAGGCCATTTCTCTAGGCTGAGACCTTCCAGGTTTGTGGGGAAATTTGGAGGAGAATGTAGACTCATAGTCTCAAGGAGAGAGAGTGAATACCAGCTCTGTCCTTGGCCATTAGAGAGCGTGGACGAAATAGCCTCCTCACCTGCACTGTGGGTGGGAACGTTGGGAGGTGAACACGTTAGTCAGCCTTGGCCCTATCCCTTGCAAAACTTTAGGTGTGTTCTTAGGCCCAGACAATACTTGGTGAGATTTCATCAGTTACTATGGAAAAATGAGGCAGGCTCTTGCAAAGATGTTGAAGTATCTGAGACACGGAGCAGGTGGATGCCCCAATAACCTGTGCAGAATTGCAGTGGAGCCTGGGGAAGGAGCTGTCTCTCAGAAGTGTGTTTGAAGAAGGCACACTTGTGGGTGACAGGCCAGTCGGGGCACAGGTGCTTCCTCCAGATGGGTACAGCGGGATATAGGGTTGAGGGAGAAGGCTGTAGTCTGGTTTGCACGAGGTGTTTTCTGCCCATCTAGGAAGGTGATGTAAATAGAGAAGCAATGGCTTTGGGAAAGGTGGATGTGACACAGTCCTCCCTCCTGCGAGTGCAGCTGAGAAAACTGACAGGTGGGCAGCAGGTGCCCTTGGATGTCCGTGGTGGATGTGGCCTGCTCATCTTACCGCAGCCACAGAGGAGATCTGGTTGAGGCCACAGGGCCAGAGAGGGAGGCTGGGTGCACAGGCAGGCTTTTCTGCTGGTAGGATGGGTGTTGTGGGGACCCTTTAGGGTCTGCACAACCTAGGGCTGTTCTCTAGTTTCTGGTACCTGGCCCTGGTTTGACTTAATGACTGGTGCTCTACGGGTTGGCTGGCAAGGGAAGGGTACAGTCTCTCCTTGGCCAGTAAGTAAGCTTTGTAAGGTGCTGTGTTGCAAAATACAGAAAATAACCCCCTGACCAACCCAGCATGTGTCCTCTGATTTACCCAGGCCCAGGTGTGTGTGTGGGGGTCTGGCTCCATGAGCATGAGCTGGGACTCTGGAGCCACCAGGCATGCTCCAGGAACTCCCTTAGAAAAGCCACTACCTCTTATCTAGCACTGTGTGTGGGAGAAGTTAGTTGCTCCCTAAAATCCAGAGCTCTGATCTTTTTTCTGTTGAGGGAAGAAGCTGCCCCTGGGGTGAGTGGCATTGGCAGCCCCCACTGGAGGGTGGTGGTGTGGTCTGCTCCACCCTGTCCTGGGTGTGGCTTGGAGGTGCTTCCTGCACAGGCCCCTGGTGCCCAGGACAAGGCGCTGCTTACCCCACACTGGATGTAGCCGTGGCCTAGTGAGCCCCCCCACCCCCACCTTTGTCATCTTGAAATGCTTGCCCCTCTGTGTGCCTCTGCTCCTCTTGCCGTGACCCCCTGGGAGGCACGTTCCAAGAGGACCCTGGTTGGGACAGGGTGACCTCGACTGGTTCCCCTAGCTCAGGTTCTCACCTTCTGTTCTCTCTTGAAGCAGCCGGTTGATGACGAGGCCATGGCGCTGTAAATGAAGACCAGGTGAGCGGAGCAGAACGATGCCCAGGGGTGGGCGCTCTAAAACCCCACAGCAAGAAGAGTTTCCCCTCAGCAACGACATGGTGGAGAAACAAACTGGGAAAAAGGTAAGGCTGTGCTGTCTTCCCTCAGCACACACTGCTTCCTGTCCCGGGACTTGGGCTTGTCACCTACAGTGAGGCCATCAGACATTTGACTGCTGGAGACATTGCCTGTAGTTTGGCTGTTTCTAAGTGTGAGTCCACAGCAGTGCCAGGTCTTGGCATGCATGTGAATTGTGGCAGTGTCCTGAATGTACTCAGCCCAGCAGGTACTCCCCTGGGGAGATGCTCCAGCATCGCTCAGCTCATTTATTTAGTCTGGCTCTGTGCGTGTGGACAGGCCTGGTGCTGCTCTGACAGGAGCAGGAGAGTGCTGTCTAGCCACTGCAGTGTGGAGCACATGCACACATAGGAGGGTGCATGCGGTGAGGAGGCCTGAGGAGGCTAGGTGGGGCAAGCATTGGGACTGACACTCTGCTTAGCACAGGAGGCACAGCCCAACACAGGCATGCATGTGATTCAGGGCAAGCTTGGGGCCTGTAGAGTGGAAAGGGGAGAGGACATCATTTTTCCTATGGATCCCTCGCTGGTGGCTGACAGTCCAAGGTGCCAGGACTGTTTCTTAGTTGCAGCCTTGGTCTCATCTTTCCCCAGCTCACTGGGGGCGGGCTGTGGAACTGGCACCAGCAGGGGGCCTGCTCCACAAGTCAGCTGAGCCCTGAGCAGGTGAAGGTGGTCTGCACATAGCCAGCCAGCTGCATCTAGGCTGCCTGCACTCCCATCACTGCCTGAGGCCCTGGCTTCAGGACACTTCTCACCTAGGCCAACTGCTGCTCCTTTGGGGAAGAACCCCCAGAAAGAGCTGGAGCTATTTCCCTGAAGGACTGGGCATGGTATGGTCTCCCCTTGAGAACTGGACTTCCTTGCCAAGGTGTGAGCCCTGTGTTGTGCTAGTCTGGTGTGAATTAGAAATTTTTCATGTCCACACAATTGATACAAGTGGGAGTCCCAGGACCCTGAAACGTCCTGAGAACTTTGGCACCATTGTTGTGCTAGAGTGCTCTAGGAGCAGAGATGTCTGAGTCCTGCCCCTGGAGGCCCAGAGTGTGTGCGCAGAGCTTGTGAGTGAAGCAGCCTACTCTGGGCATTGCCCAGCAGCTTGTCTGAGTCTTGCCCTTGGAGGCCCAGAGTGTGTGCGCAGAGCTTGTGAGTGAAGCAGCCTGCACTGGGCCTTGCCTGGCAGCTATTAGGACGGGGTAGGGGGTGCTGCTGGCCCTCAAGCCCATAAGGAGGAGTTGTCTGCCACACTGGTGTTTGTGGTTGCCCAGGCTCACGGACAAGTGTTCAGTCTCAGATCTTCACTGAGGAGGTGATGTTTCTTAGCTATCTGACACTCATGATGCTGGAACTTGAGCAGAGCTATGTGCACCTGGGTGTGCAGGGGAGAGGTCCAGGCAGGTACAGGCACAGAGACTGATTTTTAGAGAGGAGGGCAGTGGCAGCCACCTCAGAGGGAAGCTGGAGAAAGCAGCCAGTGCTGGTGCCCTGGCTGACAGCCATCCCCTGCAGCTAGCTCCAGGCGGATTTGAGCTATTTCCCCTTCTGAGCTGAGCTGCCTGCCAGTATGGACATAGCCGTGTTCACTCATCTGCTGTGAGAGGCACATGGGTCTGACTTAGAGATTTTTTTCCTGTTGTTTTCTATGCTGCCCAAGATAAAGCCAGACACTTTTCGTCATGGTATCCTTCAGTGCTGAAATGCGTGTCTCAGGGGCCAGAAGCTTGGACAGAATGCTGGGACGCACACTACCAGTCCCAGCTGTGGGTTGCGACACACGCTCCACGGGTTAAGATACCAGGTGCAGGGCTCTGGCATGGGTGTGGCAGGGCCTGTTGTCAGGGGGTACCTGACACAGTTTCCATCAAACTCCCCTTTTCTCAGATAGTTTCATGTAGCATGAAAAGTAGCATGTTTATTTAGATTTTTCCAAAAGAATTGTGATCTGAGTAATGTATTTGTGGGTGGCACAGACAGGGTACCCGTTCTGCAGGGAGTTGACCTGGTGGTTCACTGTGTTCTGTGACAGCCAAAGCACGGGGGCACCTCCAGGGTCTCCTTCAGGCCCCACTGCAGCATGAGACATCCAAGCTGGAAGCAGCCCTGGCAAGTCCCCCCAACCTGCTTTGTCTTTGAGGGAATTCTCAGCCCCAGAATCAGGGAGGGTAGCTGTGCTGTTCCTGACCCCCATCCTGGGCCACCCTCTAGAGACATCAGTGCTCTGTGTGGAGTAGAGATGCACAGATAGCCTCTCAGCCTTGACTTTTACCTGATGGTTCCCAGAGAATGCTGTCCACCTGTTGTCAGCAGAGCACTCAGGCCATCGTTGGGAATGCACATCTTCAGGCCTGCCCAGACCTGAAGGGTAGGCAGCAGCCCTGAGGTGGGCAGTGCCTCCATGTTTAACAAGTCTCCTGGTGACGGATGTACCAGTCTGAGAGTCCCATCTCGGTGGAAGATCCCAGTCTGTGGCTAGGCCCATCCTCTCCCCAGGGGTGGGCCTGTGGCTAGATTGGCCACGTTGAGGTGCATGGGGAGGAGGGCTGGCAGGGACATGACCAATGTGGCCTTGGCTTCCTCCTGTGGTCTCACAGGTAGGTCCTAGGTAAAGTCTACACACAAAATGGAGTCAGTGTGGCCATAGGTTCCATTCCCCCACGTGGGGGGAGCGGGTGTCTGTTGGTGAGCCCTCAGAAGGGAGAAGGTGGCCTGACCCAGCTGGTTATTGGCCTTTCTCAGGCTTCCTTGGTGGCATAGAAGCCCAGCCGTGTCCCAGATGCATCTCTGGAGAGTGCACGATGTTTACCTCTGGGATTTCTGTCAGTCTCTCTACTAGGGCAGAGAAGGAAATGGGGAAATGTTACACAAGGAAGGAGGATGTGCCAGGCTTGCCTCCTCTTCTGCTCCCAAACCGGCCCTGGAGCTGAGAGGACAGGGAGCACTCCCCAGCAGCATGTGGAAACTTCTGCTGACTTGTTGGTGCGAGCTTTTCCCCACCCCTCTGTGTCTAGCCCTGTGCACCAAGCCACCTGTACCACCCCCGACTCCATCACTCCTCCCTGTGGAATGCATACACTGGGGATGCATCTGCTGTCCTGGTCTCCTCCCTGCAGAGGGCGGCTCTAAAGGAGGGGTTCTGTCACTGTTCCCAGCCTCTCCTGTGTGCTGTCCTCACTCTACACCCCCTAGTATCACTATGGGCACTGCGGGTTCCCAGTGACATTCAAGGAGCATAGGTCAGGGGGGTGCAGTGGCTCCATCTGTAAGTAATCCCAGCATTCTGTGAGGCTCTGGCAGGTGGATCCCTTGAGCTCAGGAGTTTGAGAACAGACTGAGCCAGAGTGAGACCCCCATCTCTACTAAAAATAGAAAAACTAGCCAGGTATTATGGTGGGCACCTGTAGTCCCAGGTACTTGGGAGGCTGAAGCAGGAGGATCACTTGAGCCCAGGTGTTTGATGTTGGTGTGAGCTGTGACGCCATGGTACTCTACCTGGTGTGACAGAGTGAGATTTTGTCTCCAAAAAAAAAAAAAATTCATCTGAAAATTCAGAGGACCAGGGTCAATGCCCATATCTCAGTGGTTAGGGTACCAGCCACATAGACTGGGGCTGGTGGGTTCAAATCCAGCCTGGGCCAGCTAAACAGTGACAACTGCAACCTAAACATAGCCACGTCTTGTGGTGGGCGCCTATAGTCCCAGCTACTTGGGAGGCTGAGGCAAGAGAATCACTTAATTTGAGGTTTCTGTAAGCTATGATGTCACAACATTCTACCAAGGGCAACATAATGAAACTCTGTCTCCAAAAAAAAGAAAGAAAGAAAGAAAGAAAATTCAAAGTACATATAGTAGAATAATCACTTTGGAAAAGCAGAACCAAACTTGAAGGCTGCGCCAGTGTGATGTCAGGGGCAGCAGGAGGACTGTGTGTGTTGTCCTGCACGTCGATAAGTCCAGCAGGGCACAGCCACATCGGAGTCCTCCAAGTCTCTACAAGGGTGTCCAAGGCTGCACGTGTAGGACAAGATGATCCTTGCAGTCAGAGCTAGAGGGATTGGACTGGCATGTCTGCTGTTCTTGGGGTGGAGTGTTTTTATTCTGACTGGGTTCTTTTTTTTTTTTTTTTGCAGTTTTTGGCCAGGGCTGGGTTTGAACCCACCACCTCTGGCATATGGGGTCGGCGCCTTACTCCTCTGAGCCACAGGCGCCACCCTGACTGGGTTCTTTTGCTATTGGCTGTTCCTAGGGAAGAGCTGACCACAGTCAGAGTTCCAGAGGCCATGTGGAGTGGACCATTTTTTCAAGCAGTATGCTGAGCTCTCACCTGCCTGAGGGGTCATGGCCACCACTGTGGGGTTTTTAGAGAATGCCAGGCTCTGACTGGGTTCTTGGCACAGGTCGGATTTAATGTTTAGCATAATGTTTACGATATCAGCATTCAGGAGATGAAAATGCTTTTCGATGCATGTGCAACTCCCGTCTTGCTTGTGTGGAGGGCCACAGTGGCCAGCCCGGCCCCACTCTGTTGCCCAGGAGCTCTTTCTGTGAAATATAAAAACAAATGATAGGTGTGGGTCTGGCCCCAGTGGCCAGCTTACTTTCCCGGAGCTCCTCTGCAGAGGCCAGCGTGCCTTGAGGAGCAGGCCTCGGAGCACAGACATCAAGATCATATTCACTGCTTTGTCTAGTGAGAAGAGGGAGAAGTAGGAGGCGCTGGAGTCCCTGGAGTCCCCAGTGAATGCTGTACCGTGTTCAGATGACCGGCAACACTCAGAAACCATGGCCCACCTCATCGGCCCCCTCCTCTTCCCCACAGGGACCATCAGTACTGCCAACTCCTCCCCATCCAGCTCCTGGGGAGTGGGATCTTCACGGTACAATATGGGCCAAGTGATGCCATCTGACCTTAATTTAATGGCTGAAAACTTGGAGCCAGAAAATGAGAAGGAAGATTCCTGTAGAGACGGCCCAAAGGATGATTCAAAGACCTTATTCCTATGCACAATTAA